AAATTTGTTTTTTTCTGCCTAAACAGGTTTCAGTCTGCTAGAGGAAAGACAGGACTACAGATGTTCAAGAAACTCTTATCTGTCTTCTGGGCTGAACCTTGCATTGCTAATGAACCGGTAAAGAAACTATTTATTTGTTTTTTTGCATGAGAAGTGAGACTTAATATGTTTTCACTGATTCTGTCACATGACAGCTTCTCCATTTGCCACTATAAGAAGTCCAACTTGGATTTTCTCGGGGCAAACGCAGCCGTGGGAATGACGGAGCCCGACGGTGCCAGCCCGGGGCCGGGGAGGAGCCTGGGCCCGGGCAGCGGCTGCCTGGTGGCTGAGCCCAGGCTCCCAGCTCACATGTCTCGGATGCGACTCCACACGGACTCGCGTGTCCCTTGGCCTGAGTGGTCCCGGCCCCTCCGTGGGCAGGACTCAGAGTTGGCCGCGGGTGAGAGTGTAACGTCCTTTCTTGGGTCAGATTCTCCTGCGTGGCTGACTGTCCGGGTGCCCCCCAAACATCCGCAAGTGGCTCAGGCAGAGGCCGCCCCGCCCGTCCCCTCCCAGCACCAGCAGCAGTTACCTCGGTGACCAGCTGCTGGCCCCTGTCCCCCCTCTGCCAGGGCACCCCCACACACACACACACACCCACACGGCGGTTACCATGGTGACCAGCTGCCCCCACCCACCCACACGGCGGTTACCTCGGTGACCAGCTGCAGGTCGTTCACGTAATTCTCCTCCGTGACGATGAGCTCGTGGATGTACCCCTGCCGCTTCCTCTCCGTGGGGGTCAGCATATCCAGGAGGTGGAGGTCTGAGCACCCTGGAAAACACACCATTGGGACAATTTAGGTCAAGTCTGGGGGGGCCAGCTCCGCAGTGAGGACCCCGGGGCTCGAAGCTGCTGGGCCCGTGGCCTCACTCTCAGGCGGTGCAGTGGGTTGACATGTGTCCGTCCCCACCCCGACCCCAACCCTGAAAATATGTTCAAGTCCCAGCCCTGGCACTGGGGGGTGACCTTGTTTGGAAACAGGAGGGTGACCTTGCACATGAGCTCACACTCAACCAGTGCAGGCCCCAGTCCTACGCCCCTGTGTCCGCACAAGAAGACACGACAGACAGACAGGGCGCCCTGGACGTCGAAGGCAGGGACGAGGCAGGGACCAGGCAGGGACCAGGCAGGGACGAGCCAGGACGCCAGCAGCCAGGGCAGGGGCCTGGCACACCTTCTCCCGGAGCCTGCGGAGGACGGGCCCTGCCTGCACCTGACTGTGGACCTCTCGTGTCCAGCCCTGCGAGGCATCCGTTCCTGTTGTCTCAGGCCAGGCCATGCCACCAGCTGTGGTCATCTGTCACCACAGTGTCAGTCGGCCCCGCAGGCTCACTGCTGCCCCCAAAGCCACCCCCGCGTGGGGAGAGCGGCTCCGGGCGGGCGGGTGCGGGAGCCGGGCATGGGCGCCGTGTCTGTGCTCAGAGACCAGCTGTCTCGACTCGCAGGCGAGGAAACAGGCGCCCGCGCTCTCAGCCGGTGGTGGCGCCCAGAGCCCACCCTGACACTCTGCCCCGATGCCAGGCCCTGCCCTAGACCCTGGTGTTGGTTGGGTCCGCGCTGCAGGCGGGACAAGGTGACCCTGTGCTGAGGCCCCCGCTGGCCTGGGGACCCTCCAGGCTGGGTGCACTGTCCGGACCAGGCAGGCCAGGCCCCGGCCCGGACGCCCGCCGCGAGCCTGCAGGCAGGGCGGGGAACCAGCTGCACACGGGGTGCCCAAGGCCAGGCCAGGCCCGAGACCAGGGGTCTGAGGGGCGCCCCTGCTTCTGCCCCCTTCGCTGGTCCTTGGAGGTCTGGGCTGTGGGCAGAGGCCGCACCGTGACCGCCGCTGGAATGAGGGGGCGGCTCCGTTCTCGGGAGAACCTTCCAGCCAGTCACCTCCCTGTTATCAGTGGTTCTTCCTTTCAGCCCAGAAATCCGGTGTGAACGGTAGATTGGGAGGCGTGGTGGGGGCTGGGCGGTCCCACTCACTTGTTCTCATCCCTTCCCCCCACCAGGGGCGCCCTGGAGCCCGGGGCGCAAACCCTCGGAGGGACCAGCAGTGACCATGACCACATGGCCTGAGAGCGGTTAGCAATGCGCATGCTCAGCCCTGGGGTTGGGGCTGGGTCGGGAAGTCCGCCATGTGACCAGCTCTCCTGTGACGGTTGCGGGCTGGGAGCTGGAGGAGCCCGCTCTGGACCCGCAGGGGTTCCTCCAGTTTCCATCTCCCCCGCGGGAGCCGGGCCCAGGTGACCTGGTCTGTGCCGGGAGCTCCGGCAGACGGACTGAGCCTCTGGGCGGGTGAGGTCATGGCACTCCTGGCAAAGGCTTCCCTGCCCTGGGGGCGAACTCTGGCCGGGAGCTCCCAGGCCTCGGTGGGTCCCTGCCCCGGCCGAACGCCCCCTCTGCAATGCGGTGGCTCCTCACCCCAACGGACCGGCGGGGACAGGCAGAGGGAAGCAGTCAGGACGAGCCCTCACGGTCCACGCCCACCCACCCAGGCCTTTCAGTCACGGTGGTCATTCATTCCACCGCCACGGGCCCAGCAGGAACCTCCGTGTCTGCGGACGTGCCAGCCCCAGCCGGGCGGCTGCTCTGCCGGCCTCGGGCGTCAGTTGTGTTTATTGAAACAGGCGCCTCCGCAAGGAGCTGGGATGGAGGCGAGAATTCAGCCACCTCTGCCGGCTGCCCGCCCAGCCGGCCAGGCCCCGCTTCCCGGCTCTCCCAGGACAGCCCCCAGGAACTAGCCTCGAGTTGGGGGGGACAGGCTCGCGCCCCAGGAACTAGCCTCGAGTCGGGGGGACAGGCTCGCGCCCCAGGAACTAGCCTCGAGTCGGGGGGACAGGCTCGCGCCCCAGGAACTAGCCT